AACCTCACGGAAGAACCCCTTACGGTTAGTGTTGGTTGTAAAATATAAGTTTTTTTATTTCAACATTTATGACTTCATTTCTAATTATCTAAATGAAACGCTACATCGTTCTGTGCGACATTTTTTCTGAAAAGGAGTGAGATCGATCCGTGTAACTCCATTTTAACTTGTAACATAAATACTRCCGTGTTTTTAGAATCTTATCGATACGTTTGTCATCACTGAAGTATAGGCGTAACGAAATATATATTAAAAATGACTACATACAAAACCTAACTAACTCAGTGGAGAATTATCTATATCTTGGACATAATGCTTTCCCATTTCAGACCACGTGTCATTCCCTAGAGAACTATTTCTTTATTTAACGGTTGTACACGAGAACACACCGGTTTTTGATAGCAACAAACTTATAGTTTAGATTATCTAGTTTGAAAAATGTGTGAATAATGTATGAATAATATTTTCCTATGAATAGAACGTTTTCTCAAGGTTGCGTGCGCATCCCACTTGACGGGCCATAAAACTGTAAAACGGTAAATTCAGTAAAACTGAGAAGCCAGTTTTATATCTAAAGAGGAGAATAATCAATTTTATGAATTCTTATCGAAAAAAAWTTCATAGCAATGTGTGATAATACTCGTGTTCTGGTATCGTGGCCCGTCAAGTTCCTTAAATTTGGATGCGCACGTAACCTTGAGAAAACGGCCTATGAAGAYAAATTCTAATTGAAATTCAAATCAGGTACATGAATATGAATACAACTAAAGTAAATAATCTTATTTTCAAGAGAATAACACTTGGTCTGAAATAGGTAAACGTTACGCCCAAGGTAAATATGTTCTTTCTTTAGTAACTAGTGGAGTCCTTCMGTTACTCATTACAAGCTTTGCTGGATCAAAGGCCCAATAATCTTGCTTGCCGCTAAAAGGTTTCTAGTGAGCTCCCGTGCCTTATCAATGTCATTGCTGTCCAAGCAACCACGAAGCCCAATTGACGATGATTCTCTTGGTTTCTTAGCGTCGAATTCCTTCGTCGTCTTCACGTCAAGAAAAATCTGGCTCCYTTTGCAATCCAGCTTATAAATATCAACCTTAACGAGCTGCACAGAAGCAGCTGGATTATGATATTCTTCTGAGATTTTCACTTCACCGTTGACTGCAGTTAAGATTTCTTTCTTAGCAAACGTCTCGTATATGGACAATTCTTGGGCCCTYTGATCTTCHARTTCCCGTCTTGACGTCATAATGAAGYGAAAATCTATGTCACGTGACGTGGTTTCTGGAGGACGATGTGTTTTGAGGTCTGCTACAAGCCATTTGAAAGACTTGAACTGAAAACGCTTGAATTTTAAATCCTTGTCATAAATCATTTTCAAGTGGACGTCAGATCCCTTGTCATTTTTGATCTGAACCACATAATTTTCGCTTGTTTGKAAATGCGATAATCTGCCTAACGAAGCTAACGATTTGCGCAAGTTCATTAAGAGAACGTTCGGCTTGATTTTGGATTCATTGAAGAAGACTTTACTAGTGATGGGATTGCTAGGARCCCTCTTTCCTCGGTTGCTTCTCGTATCCGCAGAAGAAAACTTGGTCAGCGTGCTCTCAATATTCTTAACCGTGCTCCCTGACTCAACCCACGCATGTGCACCAGTTATGTAAATACTTCYATACTCAACTGTCAGTTCCAGTTCTCTGGGCCCGTGCAAATAGGTGATGTAATATTTGTTAAATTCTCCAAGCTGCTTTGTTAGTGCGCCTAGAAGCTTCTTTTCGTCTTGTCCGCTGTGAGAATGTTTGTCTTTTAAGTTAACTGCAAAGTTTTTATCGCCGAGTTGTTTCACCGTAACTGGATTTGAATCCGAGCTTTGACCGAGGAAAATAAAATGGCAGCCACCATCGATTGTGGATTTGTAGACGGAAAYTCCCTTTAGCTTCTTCTCGAGATTCTTGCGCTCTTCCTGACATTTCGCTAGCGTCGAATAATTTCCATGAACTTCCATAAAGGTCTGACCTCCACGGTCACCTAAAATATTAAAACATGAAAGCGCCTTGGTCAAAAAACTATTGGAGGATATATGTCCAAGCTTAGGAACAGACCTCTACCTTGGGTGTAATGTTTACCTATTTCAGACCACATGTCTYTCTCTTGAGAATAAGATTMTTYGTTTGAATCATATCCATATTCATKTGTCTTCGCGTGTGCAACCGTTAAACAAAGGAATGAYACTCTAGGGAATGATAAGTGGTCTGAAATAGGAAAACGTTACGCACAAGGTAAAGAGGTCTATTTTGGACAGCCAAAATAATCTATMATTTYYGGKTTTGCATTTAACTTGCATCTGAGTYAATATTACGTAAGGTATGAAGTGCGTTGTGCTAAGGCTTTGGTTTACCGTATCCAACCATTTGATTGKATAAGCAACTGCATTTAGCCTGTGTGGCTGGCATAGATGGTAACTGGGGATTGAAAAGAGTCTCTGTGTTGATCACGAAAATGCGGAGGAATGACCCTTTTGAAAAAATCTTCTCATCTTTACCTTGGCGTATATTGACTTTAGCTCCAGACAACTCTGAAAGTCCACATGCAACAAAGTCTTCTGCCCCTAAAATAGAAAAATCATTTATATTTGTCTTAAGTTATTATTGGAATTTGAGTCTATGAGTAACTTGGGATTGTACAAGTGTTGCCTTCGCTGGCTGAGGAGGCGCAAAATCGATGAAAGAGTGTCAGTGCTCCGCTTTAAGCTTATTCAAACTAAAGCTACAAGGATTAGAGTGAAGTCAAAACAGTGTGAGACCACGGAGACTCAAACCATGTACTTCCTGCCTTGCTGTAACATGATGAAACCACTCACATGCATGGCACTCCAAAAACCAAACTCGTACCCAGAACCTGCTTTTCTTCTGGCCTGCGGCGAAGAACGAGGGCTCTGGCATGATACATTTGGGACCAGGATTTCTTGGACTTCCGGTATAACAGCGCATCGTTCAAAGACTTGCCAAAAATAAAAAATATATATTTCCGAATTCTAATTTTTATTTTGATCGGAAGTGAACGCAGAATTCTGTTTGAAAGCATGATTATCATTGATTATGTTTCACTTCCGGGAAACTGCGCATGCGCTAAAAATGGATCATGCCAGAGCCCTCGTTTTTTGTTGCAGGCCAGAAGAAACGCTGGCTCTGGGTACGATATTGTCCATGAACAGTGGTGTAATCTTACCTCTGATGGTATTCCAAGTACACCTGGGTAACGTCAAGGATTCTTGGACATCTTTGTTTTCCTGTTCAACGCTCTTCAAGATGCTATCCAAYCCTCGACACTGGGCAATCTCATGGAAGCCGTGGAGTGCTGCGTCTGAGAATCGCTGTATCTTTTTTGCATTCAGATCAGGAAGTAAAAATTGCTCTGAGTTTACTGGATTTTTCACGCTCTTGATTTTTGAGATGTGAAGGGTGTCTAATTCAGAATCGATGGCGTAGTGCTCGAGAAACTTAATCAAAGCCAGTCCTGACAGAAGAAGATGAGAATTTTGTGAGATGTTTTGCTTTAACAAAAGTTCTTCTTGGGAAATTCCAAGGGAGTCCTAGCTTGCGACTTCGGGTCATCAACACACTGTTTGAATTTCTGAACGAGAATCCTTGGAACTGAGTGTCTGGTCAAAATATTGGGGCCTATATGTATTAGATGTTTCAGTCCAATTTTTTTATCGCCCTGGTTACAATCAAAGACAGTGAGCCTTTTGATGCATTTTTAACGATTTTGAAAGTGCTTCTTTTTTTGGTGTTTCGATCTTTGCGTAGAATTTAGCTAGGAAACCGAGGGTGGGCTATATATCGTCTTCCTACAAAGGTGCGCGTTGTATTTCTTACTAACATTGGTGCTCCMTATTTTGGTATAGCAAYAGATACATCGATATATAACGGTATRCTATACAGTATATGTTAGAATGGTTCTCGTATGAGTGGCAAACGTCCTTACTGCAGTTACATCACGTACTGCACGGTACAACTTGCCGTAACACTGAATTGGCTTCCTCAAAAATGGTTCTCGCATGAGTGGGAAACATACGGTACTGACTTACAAMACGTAAGCGGYACGACATGCCGTAACACTGAATTGGMTTCCYCAAGAATGGTTCTCGYATGAGTGGGAAACAWAYGGTACYGACKYACARCWCKYAMRCGKTACGACATGCCGTARCACTGAATTGGCTTCCCAGCTCTATGAAGATACAAAACTGTTTGGTAATACAAAGGCGTCACCTGGGTCTGTCCCATTCAGGAAGCCATCCTTGGAATGTGACTCTGCTTTCAAGATGGTGTCCTTCCATTTTTCTTCTKCTTYTCTTGGTCCTRCTYCGCTCAAGAACKYCTTGCACTGTGYATTCAAATCTGTTATCTATGGACATATTAAAGATATAAAGATAGYCAAACAACTGTTTTAAGGTTCCATAGTTTTCAGTTGTTGAAGGGAAATATTCTGTTATATTTTAAAGACCAAATCACGTAGAGATTAGTGTGCAAAACCAACTAAGTTTGACAGAMATCTGTTCACACGTTGACATTTATTGCGCGCAACGTTGCAGAAGTGGACCTTGATTCTAGGTAAACGGGCTTTTAATAGCGCGTTTAAATATTGATCTCTGACAAATATTATCGCWAGCATTCTCGTACCCAGACCSTTCTCAGCTTYCTAACTGCGAAAAATCGAATTTTATCGCTGAGAAGGGTCTCGGAGAATGTATCGCAAGTTGTAAAATAAAATAAAAATGACAGTGAATATGTTTGAGAGATGTGGATAGAATTGATTTTTTGTTTTTCCCTATCAGTGGWCCGTTTCGATTAACTGATGGGCATTTATTCAGATTGCGACTTTTTTTGAAGAGCACTTGTCAAATCTCACTGCACCGTCAGCCAATCAGAACAAAGTATAAATCAAATATCCTTCTTGACTACGAACCTTTTCTATGTGTTTTTTCATTTCGCAAAAGCGGATGAAGAGCACAGCAAGATCCTCGACTTCCATGATGCTCTCCTGCCTTGAGCCAATCAAGTKWCGCCTGCGCCCCCAGTGCATGAYGACCAGCAGTAATTGCAGGAGGCGAGGACACTTCAGAATATGTAGAAACACATACGTAGTCTTGCGAAACTTGCTTGGGTCGGTTGCGATCGAAATCTTCAAATCTTTTTGAGATATCGGCGAAAGAAGACCATTTAGCTTCAGAGAATCAACTTGAATCGAGTCAAGGTAGAGCTCTTGGTTTTTCTTTTTGGCCTTCCAYCCTACGTGAATGTASAGYYCTAACGRCTCTAGGTGTGGGTCCAYGATATTMAGCCCAGTCAACGAAACCCCCARTATTGGAATTGGTGGCAAGCTTYTTCCACTTTTTCTACAGAGTTCATYATAAACTCTATCCCTCTCCTYCTGTCTCATCTCCAGATCAGCCACCATTTTTTCTTGGAAACCTCCTTTRAAGAAAAAATTCTCAGCTTGTGTGGTGATAACTTCACTGATATCCCTCAGTTCATSAATCCCACTTTCGTCTRAWGGTATTTTACGGCTTTTCTGTGCTGGTCTGTCGATACTTCCCATCTCAGTATCATTTGGTCCAAGACTCTTGCTGGAAGATGARGATTGTTCCMTTTTCTTGTTACSTTTCTCGAGAACGCTTTTCTTTATGTAGGCCAACAATCGAGCTACGACCCAGGGGAAACTCAACAATGGTGTGTCGCTAAGAGACCACTCATCTCTACTCTGATTGGCTGATTCTTCGGGTACYCCTGCGGGATTCGAGGCCATCTTCTTGTAGGTTGCAGCATACCAAGCCGAAGCTTTCARCAAGATTTTATCAGGATATTTTTTCTTTGACTTGAACGTTTCATCAATTTTKTTCTGACCTCCAAATTCTTTGTAAAAATCTTCCTTGAGCTTAGAGCGAAGTGAAGCTACACTTGCTTGGATCAGTTGCGCAACTTCAAATCTTTCATC